TGACGGTGGGATCAGGGCGTTGGGTTGGGGGTGATGTACGGCGGCGGCATTGGATAAGGAACGTTTTCCTGGGGCCCAGACCCTGCCTCATCCCTTCTTGTCTCAAGGCGAGGTGGGTGGCCGACATTTGGCCGCCCATCGGTCGCGATGCCCTGGGTTCCTTATCGAAGGCGACCTTACCTAAAACCTCCACCGTGTCTGGAACTCCCGTTGAGGCCATCCGTGATCGCAGCTCTGACGCCCTGCACTTGTTTTGACCTTTTGCGCTCTCTAGCCTCTGACCAGATTGCCCCAGATCCATTCGTCTATTGGAGCGGGGTCGCGTTCACGGACCAGGCCATAATCACATTCATGTTTTTCTTCCTACTCCTCCTCTTCCTCCTCCTCCTCCTCCTCCTCCTCCTCCTCCTCCTCCTCCTCCTCCTCCTCCCCCCTGCTACACCTTCGACGTGTGCTGCGCTTGCATGCGAGACTTGCCACCTCGAGGACGCACGGCAGAGGTGCGTTTGCGGATCGAGGTGCCCTCGCGTCGGCGAGAGCACAGCTGGATGTCGCCAGGGCCACAGGTCGCTCTCTTCGCCTCGGGCGTCGTGCCCCGTACTCCTTGGGCACGGCGCTCCGGAGTCCACGGCTGCGGCTCCTGCGCGGGCCCTCTGAGTCACGAGGCCGTCCTCTCCTGCGTCTCCTTCTCTCCCTCCTTGGCAGTGGACCCTGCTGGTGGAAGCCTGGCGGACAGCGCTTCACGGAGACCGGGGAACATGGATCAGGGCATATGCATTTGCGACGGGTCCCGACTGTTCGTCTCGCTGCAAGTTGTTCCCCGACCTTGCGGGGGGGGGGCGGTTCTGAGAGGGGCACCCGCCGAAACCTGGCCCCGGCCACGGGCTGAACGCCGGCAGAAGCCGGCCGACCGTTTCCGGGCGGCTCGGGCGGCCCCAAGAGGACGAGGAGTCGCCGACTGATCGGTCCAGATCGTGCAAGATGGCCGCTCGACGGCCCACGAAGCCCCGAAGACTCCCCAAGGAGCCTCCAAGAGAGACTCCAGGAGGGCTCCGAGAGGCAAAATTAGTGGTTTTCCTTAGGGCTTTCCGGTTTTTCCTGTCCCCGTCTGTTCGGCCCCCCGACACCCCAAGGCGGGCCAAGAGGCTCCACGGATCGCCCCAAGACGGCCGCAGAGGCCCCCGAAAGGGCGCCCAGACGGCTCAAGAGGCCCCCAGCACGGGCAACAGATGTGCCCCCCAAGATGCGACGGCAAGTTGTTTGGGTGCGGGGGCTCCGGAATCAGACATAGTGTCGGGGCGGACAGAACCCCCAACAGTGACACGTCGATTAGTGAATTGTCCTTTTCGGTTCTCGAGAGGGCGCCGCGGCCGTTATTTTCCAGGCTTGCGCCCGCCAGGTTTGGGCCTCGGGTCGTTTTCACTAAACCACGTTTTACTAAAGGGAGGTCTGTCCATCCCCGATATTGGCACGATCGAAATGGGCCCGGAAGGAAAGGGCACGGAGAATGACAGCAGTCCTTGTCAATCTTGAGCTGGGTCCGTGGCCCGTGCCGCCGCTGGCGTGGGCCATTCCAGGCAGCAAGGCCGTCTGCCCAGCAGCGGCCCCGCCGTCGGTTTCGGACAACACTTGCTGCTGGGCATCGTGCCCATTTTTACCGCACCGTACTCAGAGCGTACTCCAGGCAAAACCAAGTCATACCATACGCCTCCTCGTCAAGCGGCCTGACAAGTACATGCCGTAGTTTGGCATCGCTTGGTATCTCTTGGAAGCGGGGGTGGTCAAAAGCGAGGTAGGTGTGTTTGCCCCCTACGTACGGCAGGTTCGCGTCGTGCCGACCGGCGGCGACCCCAGCGCGTGCGTTGAAGGTTGAACGCCGCCCGTGGCCCAGAATCGGCCCGTCGTTGAAGGATCCGGCGTTCACGGAACGGCCGATCGTTCAAGTTTGAAGGATCCCCGCGCTGTCAGGCACCAACGCCATGGTCGACACGACGCGAACCTGCCGTACCTACTTCGGGCGCCCAAGTCATGGACCCCGCGCTATCTCTGCCCCGTGCCTGTCTTGTCTATGATCTTCGCCCCTTGGAATGCTGCCGGCGCCCCCCGCGGCAGCCGATGGCCGCCCGCGCCTGGCGCTCTCTGTCCTCCGCGGGGCGCAGGGGGGGGGCTCGGATCGCGTCGCGGGGCGGCCCAGCTGCGCGGGGGGGGCGGGGGGCTCATCAGCCACGCGCAGAGGGGGGTTCGGGAGGGGTTCTCAGAAGCACCCCTGCTTCGTAGTTGGCGCGGACCTTGGCATCGCGCGGACGTGTGCATTTTTTCTCGGCGAGGACCATCGAGGACCAGCCTGGACCATCGAGCACAAACAAAAAACACGCACGAAACCGAAACATGCACGGGAAATGGACGTCCGAGCGATGGCAAGGGTCCTGATCTATAGATGCAAGGTTGGCGCCGTCTAAGCGGCAGCCTCCTTCGGAGAAGCCGCCCCCCCTCCCTCCGCCCCCCTCTGCGAGCCGCCAAGCTCGGGCACCGGCCGTCGGAAGAAGGGCCGCTGGTCGAGGGCGAAGACCCTGATTATTCGCACCCTTGGTCCCGCGGGGGGCGGGGCCACTGGGCCGCGACCCCGCGGATAATGCGGGGTGGTGGTGTCGCTCCTGCCCCGCGCGGAGCGCAGCTCAGAGCCCCGAATCATCAGGGGTAGCTCGGGTCAGGGCTAACTCGGGTTCGTTTTTCGGGAAATTCGAACCCGAGTTACCCCGGACCCGAGTTACCCCGGATAACTCGGGCGTCCAAGCAGCCGTGCGATCGCTTTAGCCGCGGGATCGCGCCCCTTGGAAGCCAGGACCGCGAGGGCGCGCATGCGGAGATGCGTGGGCGCCGCTCGTGCGTCGGGCGGGGAGGGCGTGGGGGGGGGGCGCGCGCTCTTGAGGTGGAGGCCTCCCGGCTGTGCCAGGCGCAGATCTTGGCACCGCTCGGACGTGTGCATTTTTTCCTTCAGCGAGGACCATCGAGGAGCATTCTTGTTCATCTTTTAAAATTTAGAAAACAACGCACGAAACCGAAAACAAACAGGGAATGGACGTCCGAGCGAGGGCCAGAGATGTGGCCCGCCGTGTGCCCGAGCACCGGCGATGGCGGCATGGCGAAGGGCGGGCTCCATGTCAGAGGAGGTCCAGTTGAGGCAGCGGCCGTCCCGTCCGCCTCGTTCTTCTTCTCGCCCCCCCCGTTCGGCGAGGAGAGCTGTGGGTCACCGCCAACGCTGATGTGCGGCTACAGCATGGGCGGGCCCCGCTTCAGCGCGGGGGGGGGCGGCGGCTCTTGCTCGGCTTGGGCCAGTTGCGGGAGGTCGGCACGCGAAAGCGGAGCAGGTTGATGCACGCATGTGGCTGCAGGGTCCATGTCGATCCGATCGATCCGCTCACGTGCGCAAGTGCCGCAGGTGCGTGTTGTGTCGACGCGGCGGCGATCCCAGTCCGAGCGTTCAAGGTTGAACGCCGTCGGTGGCCTGGACTCGGCCCGTATCGAATGGTCTCCGTGATCGGGACGCCGCGATCATTGTAGCGACCATGGTAGGAGTTGCAGGTTAACCTGCGTAGAAGTCGTCACAACACGAACTTTCCGTGCGTACGTGTGCCGGTCCTCGCTAACTACCTGTGCCCATCCGCTGGGTCACGCGCCCTGGTCTTGCACATGGTCTTTTAGCTTCAGTCTCAGCCTGAATGCCAGTGGCAGGTAGTGCCGTGGCAACTTATCGAATGGCCTCGGGCCCATCCCGCCACCGTGTCTGCGTGTTGGGTCAGACTCCCAAGAGGCGTCCCGGCTCGTCTTGAAGGCCCTCTTGGGCCCGAAAATGCCACGCGAGAAGACGCACCAAGCCCAAGAATACTTCAGAATTTTGATCTCTGGTCCCCTTGAAGACTCCACAGGAGTGGGGAGTGAGGCTCAGGGGTCCGAAACAGATGCCGCAGTCGCTGGATGCGGTGAAGTCCTGCCTGGAGCTGCCGTTCCAAGGCCTGAAGGACCGAGGGCGCCAGCGGTCGCACTCGTGGCAGGGTGGCGCCCAAGAGTCAGGAGAGGGAAAAACACACAAACACAATTAATCCTCGATTCCCCAGAAAATATTGGAAAATATGGGAAGCGGGGGGGAAGACAGAAACCCAGAAAATATGGGAACATATGGGGATTCTTTTTATTTGTGTGTGTATTTATTTGTGTGTCCTGGGGCGCCTTCAAAGAGCACGACGGGCGCGCGATCAAGAACATGCTTTTGCTCTGCTCGGGCGCACTGCGGCGAGTGGCGCCGAGGCCCGGCCGCCAGAGCGAGAGGGCGACGGGCGCGACGCCAGCGGCGCCGCTTCCGCGGGGGGGGGGACAGCAGCGCCTCCGCTATGGCAGGGCGCTCGGGCCAAAAGGGCCACAGGCAGCACGGAGATATGACGCGGGGGGGAAGAGGCGCCGCAGCTGGCGGGCGGTGCCGGCAGGGCGCTCGGGCCAAGATGGCCACAGGCAGCACGGATATATGATGCGGGGGGGAGAGGCGCCTCAGCTGGCGGGTCGTGCCGGCATGGCTGCAAGCAGAAACGGGGAGCCAGAACCAGTAACAACAAAGGCGACGGAACCGGTGAGAAACGGCGTCGGAACCGGCACCACAAAAGGCAACACGGAACTGGTCAAAAAAATGCCATGTCGCTTCCAGGGCCCACTAGGGTCCTGCGCCGTTCTTGCAGTAAAGTGCCAGGAGTGGCTCCCCGATGCCAGCGCCCTGCCCTAGGGGACCAAAAAGTGACATAAACATAACAACTCGGAGGTCCGCGCGGATTTCTCGGATCGGCGCTGGACCCCCTCCCTGGCGCGCGGAGCGCGCCAGGGGCGGCGCCGGAGGCGCCGCCGGGGGGCCCCAGCGCCGATCTGAGAAATCCGCGCGGACCTCCGAGTTGTTATGTTTATGTCACTTTTTGGTCCCCTGTGCCCCTCCCTCGCACTTTTGCGCTGCCTCCCCTGCAGCTGCGCACGGCCCGAGGGCCCTCGCCGCGGCGCCGCGAGATGGCCCGCGCGCGGGGCCTTTGAGCGTGGAGCCGCCGCCCCCCACTTGGGGTGCCTCGGGTGGCGCCCGGCGGCGCGGTCCGAGCAGGCTCTCCCCGCAGGCGCGCGCGCTCGGGGAAGAGAAGGGCGGCGTAGACCTTCCGAGGAGGAAAAGGTACCCGTACCTCTGCCCTTCGCCCGTTTTCCCCCGTTTGGCCCTCCTCGGAGGCCCTCGTCGCCACCGTTAGATTCGCCTCGAAATCCTAGTCAGATTTTCACCCCAGGAGGGGTCTGGGGAGTAGCGGTATCGGTACCTTTTTGGCTTCCCCAGACACTCCCCTCGGTCGTTGCAAGTAGGTCTTTTTGGAGTTCCAGATTCCGATCAGCTTTGAGCGCCCTCCTCATTTCATGATCGAGTGGCTTCACCGTTTCCATCCTCTTTAGGGGGCGGGTGGACACCCAATCTATTTTCAACGCCTTCCTACTTCATGTTTCTACCTTTTTCTTCCGACCGATAGGTCAACTCTCGGACAGTGAGAGACATCGAGTTCGATTTCCAGTTTGAGGACATACCCAAGCGTGTACGTTCGAGCGCGGATGTCTTGGATCGGCACTTGGGCCTCCCTGGCGGCGCCTCCGGCGCGGCCCCTGGCTCGCGGAGTGCGCCAGGGACCGCGCCGTGATCATGATCATCATCTTCATTATCAGCAGCAACATCATCATCATCATCATCATCATCATCATCATCATCTTCGTTATCGTCGTCGTAGTGATATGGTCCATCCACAGATGGCAAATGTTTTATCATCATATGTCCGTCGTCCTCATGATCGTGTAAGTAATCGTCTTCACCATCAGCGTCGTCATCACCATCACCATCCTTATCTTCATCATCTTCATCATCAAAATCATTGGCGACCCTGAGGTGGTGCATGATTTTCGCCGGCCTGTGGGCGACGTATTTTGCGACGGCACGAAGATTAGGCCCTGGGATAGTTTTCGCCGGCCTGGCACCCCCCACGACGTTTCCCCCCACCCCCCTTCCCCACGTTTAATAAGGGAAATAGTGTAAGGGGGGCTCCAGCGACGATCCAAGACATCCGTGCAGACCTTCCGAAGCTTATGTGTATGCCGATTCGAGCAACGCCAGAGGGCGGGGGGGGAGGCGGTCAGGGCTCACGCAACGGGGGGTTAGCGCTGACAGGGGCCGGCCACCTCCCTCAGGAGGAGGAGGAGGAAGAGAAGGAAGAGGAGGAGGAGGAGGAGGAGGAGGAGAAGGAGGAGGAGGAGGAGAGGAACAGGAACAGGAGGAGGAGGAGGGAGGAGGAGGAGGCGGAGGAGGAGGAG